GTAAATACTAATTACTAAAAAGAAAAAAAAAAGGGTAAAAGTAGTGTGTGTATATATATATATATATATATATATTTGGTGGTCATGAGGTCAGTCAAATTGACCAACCTTGTATAGAGTTAGGGTAGAGAAAAGTTTGAAACATATTTAGGAGGTTTTAGAGATTAAGCAAATGAAATTTGAAATTTTTTCAGATGAAGAAAAGTACTTTTAATCTTAACTCTTTCAGCACAGGTTCGGTCCCATGGACTGACCTCACAACCATTATTTGTTTGCTATAGTTTTCCTGCTGTAACTTTTATATTGGTAACTGTATCTTTATGAAATTTTGCATATTATCAGTAAACATTACGAGGCTTTCGTACGCAGAATATTAAGGTTTTTATTGTTTTATTAGAATCCAGGTTTCGATACCCGTGGTGGACAGAACATAGATAGCCCATTGTATAGCTTTGTGCTTACCTTCAAACAAACAAGTTTAAGATTTTTTAAGTAATTTTTTTCTCGTGCCTTTTTTCTTTTTGAACCTTGACTATCCAACTTGCAAAGTAATTTCCATTTTAAGATTATGGATACTTTTATGTGTCAGAAAATTTTCAAATTTCACATGTGAAATCCTTATAACTTCTAGATAAGTTTCAAACATTTTTCAAGAAAAAACTTTATATTTTATCTGTTATTTTCACTATTGAATCTGTGTATAGGTTTGGTTGATTTGACCGACCTCATAATCACCATAAAAAAATTAGGAAATAGATATAAGTTATGCTTTTTTGTTCTAGAATGTCTACAAATTAAAACACAAATGTTTATTCTAAATAGCCTAAATCTGATAAAATTATACATCTATATATATATTTATTATTTTTATTACATTGACCTTTCAGTTGTGCCTGGCTAACAATACAGAAGTTACAATGATGCTGCGCACGTACACTCATGTTACTGTATCCAAGAATATAAAACTGGCCTTTACAAAGTGACCTGTCTTGGCTATATTTTAGTGGACTAATATTTTGTACGATACAGTCACATTTCAGTTATGATACATTATATACGTTATTACTATTTACAAATAAGTTGTTACATTTATTTTTCTTCAAACATAGAACAGTATATATAAAGAAGTATAGCAAACATTTCTCTTCTAGTTATTAACTTTGTACTCGTTTGCTGCTTGCCATAAGTTGCTAAGCCTTCTCAAATTTTGCATGTGGAGGATGTGAAAGTCAATAATTGTTTTTAGGTTTTATATATAGATAATTACAACTTATAATTATAACCTGTAAATTACAATTCTACTATAATTTATCAAGCTTAGTAACTAAGCTGTATTTGGGTTTTAAAAAGATATGAAATCTTGAGCTCACTAAAGTCTTGGCTTACTGCTTGAAATCTAGCATAAAAACAAAGATTTTGCTGTCTGAATATTTCAGAAAGGCTGAGAAAGCCACCAAGGGAACATTCTGAGCTTTCGATTGGTTATTCACATGTCATAGACAGAATTAGGTGTACATAAGCAAGTGTTTCCAAAACTGGAAAGAGGTGGGCATGGCCACTGTGTTTGAGTCATTAAATGTAGCAATATCCCAGCAAATAGAAAAGATAGGAGGTTTTTATTTTATATTCTAGATTGTTAATATCAGTAATTTGAGTTCCTAATTTCTAAGAAACTATAGATTTTGTATTTGTACATCACAAACATCTAATCTGAACCAATGTTGCAATTAGGTGTGTTTCTTTAATATTTACTTTTAAATTAAAAATTTAACTAATGTGTAATACTAAAATTTGAATTATAATATACAATTTGATACCAAATTATTGACATGTTTTCAACTAGTATTTTATGAATTTAATTTTGAATGAGAGTCAACAAATGAGATAACATGGCCTTTGAACTGTGGCAATGGGGTTAACATAAAAATCACTTTGCACTTGGAGCAGTCAACACTTTGACTCCATATGTTCATGGAGAAATTTTTGGTGAAAATACTTCATAAAATTCTGATTTTTTGGATACAAATGACTTTTAATGATTATTGAAAGCTTGTGAAATTTCATGATGCTACGCAAAACATATTAGAATTTATAATATGGATACTATAAAGGTCAATTTGGCGTCACTAACTCGGTTGATTTGACCAAGCCTGTAGCAAGAGAGTTAATATCGAAGTAGCTGAAATTAGTTTTTATATATTCTTGTTGTACAGAATAAGTGATTTATATCTGTAAAGTTTAAATAAAAGCCTACTGGTTCTATTATTTCGATTTATTTTATTTGTTTTTGAAGGTTAGAAAGATGGTGCTTTTCTGACCATATGTACATTAAAAACAGATTTTTAAAAATCATAATTTTGTTTTTAAGTGAATAATATTTCATTCTTTACTCTCCAACTTTAACAGATGTCAGGTATTGTTGTTGGTTGGAGATATGTCTCCCCACTTGGATGATATTGTTGATATGAATGCAAGACTTGATCCATCTAACTCTACGTGGATGAAGGTACTTAGATTTACACTAGTTTATGTTTTCCAGAAAGGATATCTTAAGACTATTGAAGTAATAAATAACCATTTGGAAGCTTATTTTTTATTGCTTAATTATCTACTTGATAAGTGTTGATATTAATGACTTCAAAGCACAGCTAGTCAAGTAAATTATAAGATTATACATTAGTTGCTTCAGTTTTCTTTTGAATTTATTTTATAAACCATAAGGTTTTCAGCCCTAAAGATAAAGTATTATTGGTCATTTCTCCCTCTCTAAACTTGATGGGGTAAACTTTATATATGCTTGAAAAAATGTTTTTGATAACTTATTTTGTGACTGTTAGGGTAGTTTTTTTCAGTTATAAAGAAAGATTTGCAGATTATTTGTTTCAAAACTTTTCACATAAATTATCAATTTCACTTAATAATTTCCATTAAACATCAATATTTTTATAGTTAAGTAATGAAATAAAATTTCTGAAAAATATCTGTGAATTAATTAATTACTCGTATAAGTATAGTCTAGTCAATCAAGACCAAATTGTAGTAGCTACTGTGTTTGGTATCTTTTTCTAGCTTTCTGACTGTGCAATGGTTTTGGAAGAACAACCAGGAAAAGTTAGTGAGATTCTAAGGCTCTTCCTTCAAGGTCTTGGATTTGGTAAGATTTGATGGGGACCTGTATGTGAATGTGTGGTCAGATTTCCACTTTTTTAAGAGTAGAACCTTCAGAAATATCATATAGTTTAAAATGAAAGCCATGGCGTAGTAAGAATTGCAGCTCTAGTGTAGATATTTATATTTATCCAAGAACCTTTCCACATAAAATGGAATTATGTATATTACTAAAACAAGAAACAAGTTAATCAACATGTATTTAATTAAAAGAAAGGGATTTTTGAAACTATATGCATTTTGAACTAGTTTACTACATATAATAATAACAATAATACTTTCTTTTGCATTTGTTTTTATATATATATATATCCCAGGACTGTTGTTACTTCATATGCATTAGTAAAGGCATGTGTTAAATCAAATTATTCTTTTTATAAATAAAAATTATACTTATATAAAGTGAAAAAGACTCAACATTTTGATTTGCATTTTCCATTATTTTCTGTAGTACTTTTACAGTTTGAGAGTTGTTTTTTAACACTGTCAATCTAAAAGTTTCAATTTTAATATTTGTCTCCAGTTTTTAGTGAAATTTTGTACCTGTTACATAAATTTCTTGCTAGTGATGGTTATTATCAATAATTCAATGAGTGTAAGGATTTTATGATATATTTATTTGGTAGCAAAACTATGTAACAGATTGAGCAAAATTTGTCTCTTAGTTGTAGAATGGGTTGAAAAAAATGTGGTTTGATACTAGCTTGATTTAATACATTTTCATATAAGTATTGAGTTCAGTTGAAATACTTTTGTGGTGACAAACTTTTCTTTTTTCCTCCCTTTTATGACTCAAATCAATCTAGAAAATTTTGAATGTTGAATCAATTATGTTGTCTTTCAAAATGTGGAGTGCACACTGGAGGGATTTACACATTTTGATTAAGAGGTTAGAGAAAATTGATCTTTAAACTCCAGATAATTGTAAAATAACTTTTTATTTGAACCAGTGTTTCACCTTTGCAGCTTCATCAGGGTTAGTATATACAGTTGTTTTTCTCTAACCTTTTAATCAAAATGTGAATCAATTATGGTTGAAAGTTCTTACACATCCATTCTGTAACAATGTTATTTATTGAACTGCAATATGTACTGATAATTTTAAATGCTATGATGAATGAAAAAGCATCTTTGCCTTTATCTGTCTATGTTTAACCACTGACATAACTGCAATAGCTATTGTCTGGTTTATTTGTGATAGTGGTTTCAGGCCACTGTGTTATAGGCCTAGATAAATATAATTTTTTAATTAATATAATGTTTGAACTCTAACATTCATTAGTAATATTCTCACTGTGGTTGTAATGCATCACACACATCATACACTGGTAGCTATATATATATTAAGTTAAACTGCATCACTCACTGATACATATAAACATCATGTTTGAACTGTTTCCTGTGCTGGTATTTTATGTTATAATAAAAAATTAACAGCATCAATAAAAATTCAGGTTTTATTCCAGCTTAATTTTGCACTCCTGGCAAATAAAATAAAATTGCACTATTTCTTTCTCTCTTTTTTTTTTCCTAATACATTTATTGAAGTTTTTGTACTGTTTATTAAAGCTTTACACCTGAAACCCTGAATAATTTCTTAAATTATTTAACATTTTTTACCCTTTGACATTTTGTGGTTAACTAAAGTCAGACTATCATAACACTTCTGAAAATTTGTAAAAAGGCAAGTGAAAATTAATAGTTTTTGTAACATGTAAACTATCAATCTGGAAAAGCTTTCTAAAAAAATATCATTGTTGTAATTTTGTAAGTGCTGATGTAATTAATTTTTCTTATATCATTGTTTATATATAAATGAGAAATAGAAAATTGTGTTTTGGTACTGAATTCAATTCTTACTCAAGTATTATAAATTGTAAACTACAAAAATCCTTTTCTTGAATATATCAGCAGTAAAGTTTCATTAAAAACTTGATGGTTTATTTTTAGTAGAGGAAATAATTCTTATTCTTCAGTCACAACAAGAACATTATTGCTTGCTATAGGTATATTCTATTTTTGTTCAAAGCATGATAATGGATGCACTATTTAGCCAGTTTAATGATTAATCTATGATATTGTATTCATCCCATTCCTCAAATCTAGGAATTTCCCAAAAATATATTTCCCTAAGGAACTTATTTTTTGCCCAACTAAATGCTAATCATAGTTTCTACAGTCATCCATACTCTTGAAATTTTCTTTAATTATGCTAACTAATAAAAATATTTGTTTAAGTGTTGAAAGTTGAACACAAGTTGAGAAACAAGCAGGAGAAACTGTACCTTTGGGTTATATACTGTTAAACACTGAAAATCTGGAATCAGTTTTAAATATCTTTTTATAGTTAAAAGACTATTATGTAGGTCTTTATCTGTATAATATAGTATGTTATTGTGTCTACAGATGTCTGAATGTTGGGCTCCAGAGATATCGTGGGCTTTTATGTGTAACTTGGAGCAAAATCTATCTCATCCGTTAAAAACCCAAACAGTAGTTAACTTTCCCAATTGATAAAAGTGTGTCTGAGATTTATATTACATTTTATAATCTTGAAGTTTTACTAGGACTGAACCTAAGTGATATTTCAAATCTGGAAAACTCAAATATACAACTATATACTACTAGTTGTAAGATCATGTTTCAATCATATTTACAGTAATTATTATTTGCAGTAGTAATCAGTTAGTATTGTTTTTTTCTTTGATGTTCAAAGCATTACTAGAAAGTAAGTCTTATAGCAACAGTGGTTTACATTTTGCTTACCATTAATTAAATATAATTGTTAAGTAAAACTGCTACTTGTACATTGCTGCATAAAGTGAAATTTTAATTTATATAAATTAAATCGGTTCCAAATAACTTAATGTCTTTGTTGGAAATATGACTGAGAAAGTATGTTCTTGAGGTATTATGTATTGTAGAAGTAGAATAAATCATTTTATTTACTCATTTTAATATTAAAAAATTGAAAAATATGTAAGTATTAAATAACAATATTGTTGCAATGATTTGAGGAAATGGGTGAATCCCAACCACAATAAATATTTTCTCGAATTTTCAAAATTTGTGCATTAAACTTTTCCCCATTTTGAGAAGGAAGGCTTCATATCTCAGACCTGTAGATAAATCAATTTAGTTGTACACCATTTCTTACAAAAACTGTTACTTTAATTAAAGACTATTTTCTTGCTTACATTCCATGTTTTACTAGTCTTTAGTTGCATGAATTAATAGTATAGTTGTTGTTATTTAAATCTAATGAAAGTATCTATTGAGTTAGTTCATGATGTAAATGTTGTGTTTCTGTAACAATTTTTTTAAATAAATTTGATATGAATTTCAAATGGTTGTGTTTGGCTTAACTGTTTCATTTTAGTTGAAAGTACATATGAAATTTATAAAACAAGTACAAATTGTCAAAAAGTTCAATATATTTTACTTTCTCTTAATCATTAGGAATTCATTGTCACTGTATTCTTCAAAACATTCTTTAACTTGTAAGAATATGTTGAAGTAACAATACTTCACAACCTATAACTGTATGATTTTAGTTTTATATAAATGAAATTAGTATTTTATTTATTCAACAAAATCTGAAAAATTAACTTCTATTAAAGTATGTGTGCATCGTATTTCAGCATAATTATATAAGATACCTTTTTATACTTAATAAATGTGATAAAATCATTTTTGAATTTCAGTGTTTTATTTTTTTCATTAAATTCTTCTTAAGTAATTCATTAAGGATATAGAAAATATAAGTTTAGAATAGCATTTTATGCATTTCATCTGCCACAAGATGTTGCCAAGAAGGTATGTTATTCAATACCAGGACTGCATCTGAGCTGGACTATGGCAACTAAAAGTGTATCTAAAATGATATTTGTATGTAGTATAAGAATCTTGGTGTGTTTTGCTTCACACCATTAAAATTTATAAATATAGAAGTAGATAAGAAATTAGATGACTAATGAAAGTATTATGAACAGATCACTCTTAATAAACAGTACTGTGAATTTACAAACCAGCATTATGAGATATTTCTCTGAGGTTGAGAATAACACTTGTAAAAAAGTGAATGTATGTATAAATATAGACTTTTTGAAATATTGATTATATTTTGTTTAATAAACAAGTATAGAACTACTATCAACCTTTAAGTAATCTTAGACAAGTAGTGTGACTTGTACGTTGAGCTCTCTTGAAAACTTACAAAATGCGAGTAGTTTGCATTGTTCAGATTTTTTATGACGTTACAAATAGTTCAGCAAAGTGTGTAAGTACTAACGTTGAATGCCATTTTTTTACAAGCACTGAACCAGTCTGAGCTCAGGTTGTCAAGTTCTTCATCTTGGGAAGGTAATGCAGGTCGTATACTAGCTCCATTCACCAAACCCACACACTTGTGCATGATTCCTTTGAACCCTCACCTGTTTCACCTTTTTTTTTTTCATAGATAGTATTTCTACAGCTAGATTAATAGATATTCGTAGTGTATTTCTTTAGAACTCTTTAGTTAATCTATTCACTTTAGGACTGAAATTTAGGACAATATTATTGTAGTTATGAGCTTTTAAAATCTTGGCTTTTAGACTTGCATGAAAAACATATGCTTTTGCCTGGTAGTGTTATGTTGTTGTTCATATGTGGAGTAACATTGAAAGGATGAAAAGGTATACTAATCCTAAACAATGTTTTGTAAATTTTAGAGCTTTTGATGTTTTAACACTGATTTCAGATATCTTGACTCTTCATTTGTGATTACTGATTAAAAATTATAGTTTTTAATAGATGGCATAAAAAGCAGTTTGATGAACAGCACCAACAGTTTGAGATACTAAGATATTATCAACTTTGTAGAAGTGATACTAATATAACTTTCTTAATAAATAATGTTAAATATATCTTGAGGTCATAAGCATGTAAAAGATATTATTATCCAAACTGCTGTAGAATTAATGAATTAATCAAGCCATCATGAACTTGAAACTTGCAGATTATAGTAACTGTTTTAATCAACACAAGTCTAAAGTAAACTGAATAAACGAATAGTTATAAACTTGTTTAGAAATTTTTACATAGATTTGACAAAAATATGTATGCCATGTAGATATAATATTCATTTGAATGAGTTTTCTATGGTTACAAGGTTATTGAACTGTGTGTGTATTCCATGTAGCTTCTACTCTGTCAGTGAGGAAATTTAGTTTGCCCCAGCAGCGATCTGTTGATGTAGAGGCTGTATGTAGACAAAGAACTGATGTGGATTCAGACTTTCGTCATGAAGTTCACATTGTGGAGAATCCGATTGACCAACACACTGTGACCTGCTGAGCATAGGATCTAACACTGAACAACATTATTAACTCTTTAGTCAGTAAAATTGAGAGCTGAGGCTTTTCACAAACCGCTTTAGGGTAGGATAGTTCCTTGCACTTCTCAAAGCACTTAAATAAATCTTTGTTACAAGAAGACTTTCCATTCTTACCTGTAGGTAGCCTTTAAAAAGGAGTACGATGGTACTTTAGTGCCTTAGCACAGTGACTCTGCTAGGTTGGTTTCTTATTAACAGACAATTACCATCATCTTAAATCTATAGTTTTTTCCCCTAATTACTGCATGTGAGTGTTACTATCACTTGTTCATATTATGCAAAAAAAGAAATTGTCTTGTTTCTTTGAACCTAATACTTACAAATGCTTTTTGTTTAATGAGAATGTTAGATAACATTGTAAGATTAAAAAGCAGTAATTGTTATGTGTGAGAGGAGGAGGTAATGGTGTTAATTCAAATATTTGTTTTGTGGATGTTTTTCTCTACAATCATCCAGATTAAGACATAAATGCTGAAATATCTTCTGCAGAGTAAAAACTTTCTGTTTTGTTAAATGTTCTTTGTATTGGTTTCTTAATAAAGAATATTTAAAGCTAAACAAACAACCAAAAAATGAATTTTTACCTTTAGTAATAGTCACAGTTTTGTATCAATTTCTCCACATGATAACTAAAAGAATGGATAAAGAACATTATGAAACCTGGCACAAGAATGTTTTTCACGTGTTTTATAAATAGGACACTATTTGCATGAATTATAAATCACATAATGAAAGAATTGTGTATTTTTTCCATGCCTTATTTGAGTGCCATAAGTTTGCTTGTTATGAAAGTTATAATTAAATAAATTTTCTATATATTTTTATAAAAACTTTCTAGCCAAGTTATTTCAACCTCCAATAGCAGAAAATAAATTTACAATCATCCTTATTATGTTAATAATCTCTAGTGTTAAGTGGTTGACACTAGTTCACAACTGTTCTTTTGACTGAATAAATTGGACAGTTTCAAGATTAAATTCATGTTAAGCTGTGTAAGAGACTTAACCCTTGTAAAGCATTATGTAAGACCAGATTGATAGGAGTTTTTTCACATAGTGTATTCCCACATTGATACAGGCTACTGCTTTTAAGAATAAGAAAACAAAAAGTCCTAGCCAATAACAGATTTCTACATAAATCTGTTCTGCAGTTGAATGATGACTTATGTAATTAAAGAAGTTATGGATGCATGTCACTAGCAGATGTAGATATTAGTGTGAAATTCTTAAATCTGAGAGATTAGTACTATATGTATGGTTTTCATGAAATAGTTAAGAAGAATGACATTTTATTTTCTTTTATGGTGGTAGGGTATTTTGAACACAAGCCGCAAAAAGCATTTTTATGCGTAAATTTGGAAATATTTCCAAACGTATCTCTCTACAATACAGAAGTGGAAATTTGATAACGTTGGATTGTTTATTTTAAAAAACAATGTATTATTGTTCAATTTTATATGTATTTATGGGTATTTTGTATATTATGGACAATTTGAATAATTTTTTCCATGTTGTGTGTGATCGTTACTTAAAATTACAGGTATCTGTTGTGTATTTTGATGTTTTAAAAGAAAATTTGGTTTTAAAGATTATTAATGAAATAATTGAAATACTTATTCATGTAGTATATTCTTAATTTTAATATATATTATACAACTTTGTTTTATGTTTAACATTTATGATTATTAACATTCATATTTGTACGAATCGAAAATGAGGTTAAAACCTAAAATTGTTATTCCCTTAAAATATTTGTCTTTTATGAAATTTTTTGTAACTAAAACTTACCATGGAGTAAATCCAGTCTTACCCCATCACCTCTTCCCTCTCTTCCTGCGTAATTTTTGTGTAACACTGTGTGTAAAAAAAAAGTTTGACATCCTGTAGCACAAGTAGATGAAATATTTAGATGTCCTGTTTACTAATTTAATGAAGAATAAAAGTTCAGAGTGAACCATATGACTTCATATGTGTATGTACCTCAGTTCATTAACTTTGACATTTGCAAAATGTAAACGATTTTTTTTTAATTACATATAGAACTTTAACATACTGTAAAGCAGACCTTGATCATATAATGCAACTGGTCAGGGACATAGGAATTTGATCCGGCATGGCCAAGTGATTAGGGCGCTTGATTCGCAACCTGAGGGTCGCAAGTTCGAAACCCCATCCCACCAAACATGCTCATCCTTTTATCCGTGGGGGTATTATAATGTGACAGTCAATCCCACTTTTCGTTGGTAAAAGAGTAGCCCAAGAGTTGGAGGTGGGTGGTGATGACTAGCTGCCTTCCCTTTAGTCTTTCACTGCTAAATTAGGGATGACTAGTGCAGATAGCCCTCATGTAGCTTTGTGCAAAATTCAAAACACTAGCCTCTGACAATTCATGTGTATATTTAAAATATGTGCATGAAAATTCTATTGTAACTAGTGATTATTTTGGAGGGTGCAATTGATATTGAAACAATAATTACTAATTAATAATGTGTATATTGTAAGCCAACCTTTGGCAAGTGTAATGGAAATTAGAATAAATAAGTTTGTGCAATGGAGAATACTTACAATGAACATGTACATTTTTATTTATTTTGCATTTTAAGTCGATATGTATAATTGCATAATCAGTTATTAATGTGGTATTCAAGTACACTTTGACCAACAGAAAAGCCGAAGTTTCTGCAAAAACAAGAGGTTTAGGATTGTTGAGCATGGGCAACAAAGGAGAACATCAGTGAACAAACATAATCTTTTTTCACAATAACATCTGTAATGTTACCAGATATGCTGGCCAGTTTCTAATTTGTGTGAGTATTATGTTGCTACTGGAGTTGAGAACAAAAAAAGGCAGTTTACCATAGTATTCTCATAAATGCAATAAGTTGACAGGCAGTCCAGAATGTTCTCATTAACAAGTCCTGATTGTCCATTAGAAAGATTGGTATATACCAATCAGACCACCACGTTTATCTCAGAGTGCTACAACAAAATATTGTGACGGCTTATCTGCAACTTTACCGAAGAAGGTTCTACAAGTAAATGTCTGCCAATATTTGTTACAAAACTTTAGCTCAGTGCTTGGAAAGCAAGGACTGCAAAAGTCTTCTCAACCTATTAATCAGAATCCTAAGTTATCATTAACACCCGATTACAACTAACTTTTCCTAGGATTTCCATATAAATCCTCAACTGTCCTGTATTTGTATCTGGTAAGTTTGGTGTAGTCTGCTTTTCAAAAATTCCACTTCAATTAGATAAATCAAACTGATATCTCAAAACATCTTGCTATAAAATATTGTGTGATAGCCCTGAAAGAAAAAGTCAAGTGGCTATCACATAACTTACTACACGTACATCCTGTCATAAAGCACAATTTGAAAGCTCTGAAAGCATAGTACAACATCTCCTTTCACTTGTTGATTTTTAAACTAATTGATCGTCCTAATTGTTTCTCAAGCGGTTAATCTAAGCCATAATGATCAAGAGGCTGTCATTGGTATCTTGACCAATCATCGGGGCAGAGCGACTGTGCTTTCACTTGTATATCTTCATCCTATTTTGAATGTTTACAAACACAGCCGGATATGTAGTACCGTTGTATTCTTTTTCGTGAGCTAAGACAAGATTATATAATACAGTAGACTGGTCTTTAGAATCATTCTACGTATCTACCTCTGATTTCTAGATTAACCAGTTCTGTAGTTCGTTAGTGATGTAGCTTCAGCTTGGTGTGTTTGATTTGCATCGTAAAACCACTGTGACTTATAATTACCATAACTGAGCTGTTGAACAAAACAGACCATTTCAGGCAGAATATAATTATATCATACTGCATATCTTTTTAATTATTTTGACATATGGCCCACTTTACCTATTTGCTGCTGCATTAATTTGTGCTTTGGCTGTTGCAGAATGTAGCCAGTGGACTATACCAGTACTTCTGCACTAAGTGGAGGGCCATATACATTGCAAAGGAACTAAGGAAAGCAAGAGGAGTGATTGCTCACCTTAGACTTGTGTAAAGGGTGGAAATGACAGTGGTCATTCTAATGTAGAGGAATTTCTATGGGGACCAAAACAAAATTTCCATTTAAGAGATTCTAAATTTTCATTTGTCAAAATTTTGAAAAAAAAAGTGTAATGCCACTAATTAGTGACAATAGCTTTCGTGTGTGATATCTGACAATTTCAGGTTCATGAAAGTTTGCCTTCCCTCAGCAAAATGTTCTTATGCCAATAGCCGTACATCAGATGCACAGAGAGTTGCACCTCTCATCCAAAAGTATAGAGGTTTGGAGAACAACCATTCGACTGTTGCTCAGTTATGTGACATAGTATGCCACCATTCTCTGTGACTGGTGCTCATTTCAGTCAGGGTTAGCAAACTGAACAAGTATATACTTAACAATCCGTATTACACAGTTAGCCAAACCATAAGGTTGAGGATGATATAGTGAAGTGCAATTGTTTAGTCCATTTGGTGAAGTAACTGATAACAACCAATAGAAATTATTACATTTTGCTGAGGACCAGTTATATCCAGGGTGATTCTTTTCAAAGGGTATTCTACCACTATCCATGTTTTACTGAGCATGGACAGTTTATTGAAACATCTTAATATGAATGCTGCAGAAAACCCACTTTGGCACACTTGTAACAGTGAGTGACGCTTCCCTCCAGTCCTTGCATTTTGCAAAGCTCAAGCCATTTCCTGGCTTAGAGCTCTGGGTACTACACCTTATCATTCATAATGACAGTACAACATGCCAACCTGTATTCATAATTGACTATACAAGTGGCAGATACAGTGCAAATCAGTACAATATTAGCAAATGTGTGATAAGTGAACACTGTCTTGCTGTACAGCAAGTAACACCCAAGCTATGCCTGGGTGATTCAGATGATTTTCCCAAAACTCTTGATTGGTCATTTATCTCATCCACCTAAATGCAGCATTGTTATTTCTCGTATTGTTTCACGTAACTGCTTATGGCTTAAACCTCTGCATGGCGTGGAAAATTTGAGTATTTAATAAATAGGTAATATTTCATTGGTTAGTGAGATAATCTATCAGTGTGTTCATGCTGACAAATCAGTTGGTCTTGTACAACAGAGTTGCCCATTCACAGATTGGGTATGTAACATTCAATCATACCTTCTAGATTTTTTAAGTTAGTCAATACAGTGATGCATGGACTGCTCAAATGGAAAACACTATCAAACAAGTAGCGGCAGTAATGATTAACAAATACTATAACTGCAAGCAGCTCATTCATTGGCATCCAGGAGCATTCAGCAACTGACATACATGATCATGTAATCCTCCCTGTCTTACAATTGTGACAAAAGTGTTAATTCCACCATTACTGGTATCACAACTTAAAATAAATGGACAAACTTGACAAGTACTGGTATTTCAACTAGGTGGACTTCCCAGACTGGAACATGTCTTCACATTCTTGTATCTATATGAAGCATATATCAACCTTAAAAAAGTGCAGGCAGTGGTGTGGCTGTCTTTGATAACATGAAACAAAACCAGTAAAGCTGCAAGCATTTCATTTCTTAGATTGTAGGTGACAGTCCTTGACTAATGGAATCTTCAAAGAAACACTGGAAATTCCATCTCTGTTGATGATATGACTGAGAAACTGTACGTCTACGCATGTAAGCGCATACTTTCTTGGCTTTAAGTAGAAGCCTGGGTCCTTGAAGCACTGAATTCCATTTCCATGTTCCCAGTTGTGGCTTGAAACTACAATAGATGGTATGTCATTCACATCTCTCCCATTGTAGTCTTTTTCAGTTTAATCAAGCATTCAAATGTTGTATGAGCACTATCCAGACCAAGTGGCATGATTGGGATTCAAACAGTCCTCCTTAAGTGCTTACAGCAATCTTAGGTCATCTGCGTTTGTTGTACAGTTGAACAGGTACACTTCAATGCACCAATATATTCATCCATGCATGGTATAGGAAAGATGTGATCATACATTACCACATTCAACTATATGGAGCTGTTACAATACCTTGGCGTTTCTTCTTTCTTTTTGACAGCTACAACTGGAGATGACCAAGCACACACTGACAGTTTTATTGTCCCATCTTTTAACATTAACCCAACATTGGCTACATCCCCGCTGCTCCAAGGAAGCCTATATAACGATTATTTTGTCAGATATGCATCACCTTTGTTTATGTGATACATGTCATTGATGTTCAACCCAATGTGTGTTATTTGGTTCCACAAACAAGCTGGCAAACTCCTTTAGCATGTCTCTATGTCCAGTTTGTAACACCAGCAAAACATCTACTTTGCATTACTTGTTTCTCTGTTATTGTCCTAATGACCATTCTAGCTCAAATCTGGTTGGCTGTTGTTACAGTCTAGCACTGAAAATCATCAAAATGGCACAGATCACTGAGCTAATGCAATCTGTTTTCAGAAAATCAAACAAACTATTTCATGCATTAATTGTATCACTGATGTAGCAAATACAAATATATTAGATTGCATCCACGGTATACTGTGGAATACCACTTGCACATTAGGAGAATTACCACAGCCTTTTTAATGTTTACAATCCATTGTTCTTGCATCCAGTTTGGTAGGCACTGGATGGGTTTCTTGCAGATCTGCAGTTCGCCTGTTGCACAAAAACAACTGACTAACGATTTATGTAGTAGGTCTCTAAGGTAACACAATCCATGCCTAATTCAAAAACAACTACCTCTTTCACTTTCAGTGTGCGACATTGCCAAGATGAAATCAATGATGTGGCTCTGCACATGTCTAACTTGTTGCCATTCACCTAAACAATGTGTGTACTAAGTGGGTCAAGTGATGGCTTATTGCGGAGTGCATGATATAATGAGATCGAATACATAGGAATAAAAGTTGGCCTCATTTTCTTAGTTTCAAAAGTTGTTTCCAAAATCGACAAATTTCGTGTAAAATAGTCATTAG